GAAAAACCCATTTTTTTATTTTTGAGAATTTGTATGGTTTACCTCAAATTATTTTACTTGCTTAACACTCATTTCTTCTTTCAGATTTAATTTTTTCTTTCCTCTGTAGTCAGACAATCAGCTGGTTTCAAGTCACAGTCAGCGTCTTTCGTACGAGTTATTTCCCTTTTATTATTGTACGTAACGTCGCGTGAACTTTGATGACGTAAATACATTCTCCCAAACAAAACAGCCGGAAAAAATAGGCGATCATTGCAATGTTAATTTCCCATAGAGAATTCTAAAATGCTACGTACACGCATCAAGACAGTTTCGGAATGACCCGAGGTACGTGAATCGTGTTGTACATTTATTTTCTTAAGAAATCGCTGTTTGGAATAAGTGTTTGTACAAATAAAAAAAATAATCGCGATTTTTTGGTAGACAGCAAAGTTTGAGCCAGACTATAAGTCTGAAAGAACCCGCTTTCAGTAACTGGAACTATTTGTATATCAGTACTTTATGTCTTTTGTTCTTTGTCAGTTTCTTGAGATGTTTGCTGACATAAAGAGGCAAGCCATATCAAAATGATTTTAACAGTTTGATTTTTTTTGTTGCTGTTACACCAATTTCCAAGGTTAGGAAAAGGGTGCTGTGCCCAACCAAATTATTTATTCCAAGAGCCTGTAAAACGTCATCTAGTTATGTAATTGCAATTAAATCAAAATTCGAAATCGTCAATTTAGTTAGAAAGGCAAATGATGACTACATGTGCAAACTGACATCACAATCGATTGATAAAAATATTCCTCCTGAAAACGGTGGCGCATTGTCAAGTCAGTGGCAAATCTTACCAAAAAACACAACCACATTTTTAGAACATGTTGGCCAAGTTTTTATTTATCTATTGAACAAATCAGAGATTCTGTAGTACTGCTTGTAAGATTATTGTAAAGATTCCTTTTAATCAATTGTATAATTATATGAAGTTAAATAGCCGTTTTTCAATCTTGATTCCAGCCAGGAGACTCTTCTGTTGATCAGTTTATTGAAATATTAAAAAAATTATCAGTAATCTGGATAAGGGAGGGATATGATGTTTTTATTGTGTTATGTATCTAGAGTTTTTGATAAATTTGGGCATACAGGTCCTTTATTGAAATTCTGGCTTAAATGTGCGGCTGTTATTTTGAGTAGATCGTTATCTTTCTGATCGTTAACAAAAAGCTTTTCCTCAACTATACATGGTAGGCGTTCATCAAGGATCAGTTTTGGGACCCTTTCTGTTTTTCATGTATATAAATGATTTTAGTAGATGACATTGACAGTAACGTTAGACTTTTTGCAGATGACTCTTCATCATTTTTATAGTAGTAAGCAAAATAACAAAAATACCGAACTCCAAGGAATATTGAAAACGGCAAGTACGTTATCAAATGGCAAAATCAAAAGCTCAAACACATCAAACGAATGGAAAACAACTGTCATATTCTTGACTTGGTACAGGCATTTCCGTATGTAGAAAATTGTGGATTAAACCTGTTTTTTTTAGCTAGCTAAACCTCTAATTTGTATGACAGTCGCATAAAATGACATTATACTGACAACAATATGTGAGCAAAACAAACAATCATAATAGGTAAAAATGTAAAAAATTGGGGTACAGCAGACAACATTGTGTTAAAATCTTAATCTTAATCTTAGTAGACGATGATCATGCTACAGCAGCTGCTTCTTTGACTGATGACTTTTCTCAAACTAGACTAGATTATGGGACGCTTAACTTAACTCCAAGAAAACAAAAGACACATGTATAGAATGGAAAGTGAACATCCACCTGCTTTTGTTTTTGGACTATTGGTGAAGAGGTTGGGAAATAATTATAGATAATCACTGTCATCTTGTGTTAACTTTTTAAGTTATCAACTTCATGGAACAAACATATTTATAATATTTATATAAAGCATGCTCTCGTTTATCTGTACTTCGACAAGTTTTACATTTAATAGACAAGAATTCACTTATACTTATATATAAGTCCGAGCTTCTTGAAAATATTCCAACAGAAGCTGCTAGAATTTCTGCTGGACCATGTCGTAATTTTTCAAGTCATAAACTTTACATTGTTTTAGGAATAAAAACTTATGGGAATACACAAAATAAACATAAGCTTATATTGTTTAAGCATATTAATTGGGATGACACCTACATACTTATATAAGTTAATCCAGTCATCTTTTCCAAGCACTAGTAACTGTTTTTTCTACTGAAACGGTAATTTTAAACTGAACAACTCTTAATGCCTGAATTTACTGCAAGAAAAATGTCAAGACCTTTTTCAATTGTCCAGGTCATGTTCAGTACACTGATTACCTCGAGCGATTAAGTATCGATCAGTACTGGTTCAGGTAATTAAGAAAAAACGCTTTGCCTTCGAATCAGTAGAAGAAAGTACGTTTTAGATCATTTCAGTTCATCGATAGAATTGTTGTCCAGTAGTGTTCAGTGCATCAAAATAATATACGGATTGCTTCCCTTTGGTAAGCAGAGAGTCAATAAAAGGAAATCGATTAAAAAAAAAAATTGATGAATAATTAAATAAACACATATACTTTTTTCATTAGAGACATAATTGGCAACTGTATTGTATACATGTTTTTGCTTTAACATTTGTTTCGTTTTTCTAAATTTATAAAAAAAAATGATAACTGTTATAATATTTTTCTATAACCCAATGAAAAATATAATTTCTTTTAATATTGTTACGCACTGAACTATTTGAATGTTATATATAAAAATAGAAATATGTGGTATGATTGCCAATGAAGTAACTCTCCACCAGAGACCAAATGACATAGAAGTTAATATATGAATGTGTAACAGCTATAGAATAATTCACAAATCGGTGTTACATGAGGGACTGGATGGAGGTCCTTCATTCAGTCTGTATTCTTTAATTTCTTAAGTCGTTTTTTTCTATTCTTAATACTTTTTGCCCGTTATTCTCTATTCTTTATATTTTAGCACATCAGTATTTTCTATTCTTTATATTTTTTGCCCATCATTCTCTATTCTGTAAACCCACATCCATACATTTCTTGCATTTGTGTGTTAGGTAATTTATTTCGGAATTTTAAAATTATTTTTCAATTTTTTGCTATGAATGATCTTTTAGGTATTTAATTAATAGATTCATAGTGTAATCGGAAAAAAATATACACATCTCCAAATTTGTTCAAATTATTATATAATCAGTGTTTTGAATATATTATTTTTAATAGGATTCCATTACGTTTACTAACACGAAATTTTGTAAGAAACTGTGTATTTAAAAAACTTACACATGTGCAAAATGTCGTCCTCCTCTTTAAATTATATTTTTATATATACAAGTTGATATAAAAATGTCTTGAATAGTTTTAATATTATATATTATTTTTTTATATGTCATAGGAAGATTTTTGCAAAGATTCAGTTAGGGTCAAAATCTTAATCAAGTTGAGGTTTATATGACGTATTTGCAATATTTATAATGGGACTAATTTAATGTGTCACAATTAACAGGTTTATATATTTAATGGTTATGTATTCGAATAAACATAAAAAAATATAAATTGCAAAGTGAATGAATGTACTTTATTCTCATAAATCTACGTGTCATAGTCACAGAGAAAATTGGTATTTACAATAACAAAATATATTTGACATTTACGATTTATTCAGCAAAATATATAAAGTCATAGAATTGTAGAACCCGAATTTTACTGAAAGCGGGGATTGCCAGTTTAAAGGTTTGCATTTCATCAATAGCCGCGTTTCCGTCGTTAAAGCTAGGTAACAATTTGTACGCAATTCCGACAACAGATTTCATTTTCATTGTAATTTACAATCATTTGACTTTCAAATATATTTTATTTTGGACAATTGAACAAAGCAGAAGTATTTTTTCACAGAAAGAAATCAATATCATTGAGAAATCGATCAATGTACTGAAAATTATAGTCCAAGCTCGAATAAAGGGAGACAAGCCTTATAAATACGCACAAAGTATTTTATGTCAAAATTGATAGATCTACCTGGCACTGAACACTACTGAAAATTCCCAAACGACTATTTCATCGATGTACTGATTTGTACGAAAACGTTCTTGACGCTACTAAATCAAATGCAAGGCGTTTTCTCTTAATTACCTGAACCAGTACTGAACTGTACTAAATCTCCTGCGCGGGTCAGGGTACTGAACACGTACTGAATAACTGAAAAAGATCTTGACATTTTTCCTTGCGGTAAATTCAGGTATTTAAGAGTTGTTCAGTTTAAAATGACCGTTTCAGTAGTAAAAACCGTTACTAGTGAAGACAAACCCCTTGTACTTTGAGGAATGAAAATAATACAGTTCACCCTACATGCTAGAACTATTTCTTACTTTGATAATTTCATTCCTTGTAGTACATTACTCAGTGATGCTTAATTGCCTACGCATACACTCTTAGATATAATATGCATTTAGTTATTAACACTGTAGATATGTATTTGTTTGTGTCAGCTCGTAAGTTACACGCATTTTGCCACTGTAGTTATACTATTTTAAAGACACTTATAAATTCATGATCTAAAGCTTGTACGTGTAATATGGAGAGAGATTTTTTAAGGGCGTGCATGTTGCTCAATCATTTTCATATCTTAACGATAGAATATGTCTTAAATCAAATTCTTATTTATAGATCAGATGGCTAGCTAGTAGAGACTTCCCTATAAGTTAAAATTGATGGTTTTATGACAATTCTGCTTGACATATTGTTTTTCTAATGATAATGGTAATAAACAATTAATCATTATCTTTTCTTATTTAGAACAAAGAGTCTTTCAAGTATTTAGATTTCATTACTTGATCTGTTGTATCGACCATTTGAAGTTCATTTTGGCAGTACTAACAATACGAAAATATCATATCGTAGGGACGTTTTCTGTAAGTGATTAATAATACTAGACATCTATCAGAATAGATTAAGAAACCAATGATCGTTTCGTATGTTTATTTCTATACATTTGTCTTTGTACACACGACACAAAGAACATCTGCCTCATTGGTATATGGAGGGCATCTTAAATTACTACATTTGGTTCGTATAGGATAAAACAAAGCTCCACTTTCCTCTCCATTCTTGTCGTCTAATGGTTCTGCATTCTTGTCCAAACATGCGTAGTCACTCTTGTAATGTCCTTTATGACTACTCATCAGATAACCATTTTATTCTGAGTTCCATCCTTTATAGCAAGTCTGTCGACCTGAATTAATATTTACATTTTATGCTATTGATAAACTATTGATTCCTAATCTGGTAACATGGTAGTATTATTTGATATTTGTGTGATTAGTAACGAATATGTGAAGTATTATATCTTTTTAAACTATTCGCTTACTACTCTTTTTGTTATATACAATATATTTTTCAACCTGATATGCTAATTCCCTTACGTTTTATCATGTAAACTGTTTAAACAGACCGTTTAAATGTTTTCCAGTGAATTTGTTATCTATGTCTGATTGACAGTACTTTGTCATGATATTTCATCATGTAAAGTTTTTGGTGAAATTTGCAGTGAATTTGGTGAAACAAATATGAGTAAAACATACTTTCAAATGGAGAGTCAATAGGTTTATTTACAGATATATGTTATATTATTGTATATAAAAGAATAAATGTAGCTTCTTCATCGAAAAAATAACCTAAACAGTGTCAACTGTTCTGTTAAGGCATTCTCCGTTTTTATATTCACTGATTCATGTTTTTGCTGTCTAAACTTGATTGATTTCGGCAACAAACTATTCTAAATTGTATTTCCAAATGAGTCCTCAAAAGTCTTAATTGTGAACATCGTATTAATTGATATACCTGGTATCATCAAAACAGCTGATCTTCGTTTTTGGTAACATACAGAACACGGCACCTCCTTGTTGTCCATACTTGTTGACCATCCTGATGGCTTCATTGATGAACTTAGATGTTATTCACCTCCATGTATCTGGTCATTGCCATATGATTGGTGTTGTCCATTCTCTGGATCATTTGGGAGACATAGATAGTCCACACCACCTCCTCTATATGAAAAATAAGTTCCACCAACTTGTCCTGAACGGCAAAAATGTGTTCTAAAATTATTTCTTAAAAAACATTAGTATAAAAAAGATATGGTATCATTTAAATGATATAACTATCCATCAAAGATCGGTTTATCAAATCACAGTATAGTTTTTGTTCAAACGTACATTAAGTCGTAATGACTATCTTTATAAATTTTCAAAATATATCTCTATCCTACCACAGAGTTATATGTATGAGCGTAAGACTAAATCCGTAATTCCACTGAAGATATATTACTTACCAACATTACTGGGAAGAAAAATGAAGTTAATAAGTTTTACTGAAAAGTTGAGGATTTTTATACTTGATAAAGTTAGTTTATACCAGAATAATGTTGTATTACCTGTATACACCATATCAACTCCCTTTGGACAACTTTTCTTTCCCCAACGTATGTAGGTAACTCCTAAAGATAAACACAAAAGAAAAAAGTAAAAAAGCTATGTTTGTTATTTTCCCCACTTTAAAGGAACTTAAAAAAATGACATGCGAACAATTCAATATTTTTAACAACATAATACTTTAATCATAAATTCAACATAGATTTACATCACGTATACATTTTTTGTTTGGTGAATGAGAAATATTTTCATAACTACATTACCATCACAATTGTTTAAAAAAAAATGCACATGTCGGTTTGTATAATTTGAAATGTATTGAATTAATAACTCAACACAGTAAGCTTTTTTTTCATATTTTACATTATCTTATCAGTTGCCTTTCACTTTTTAAGTAACACTAAAACATACATCAAAATTGCTAAAACTGTAAAAACCTGTATTGAGTGTTTTGTTTTGCGGTGGACATTCGTCTTTTCTTGACGTATGAAGGTAATGTTTCATCATATCTATCAGTGACTGATCTGAGGCCGACAGGTCATAGTCTTTACATCCATAGCTGTGCACAACCAGCCTAACAGTTGCTAGCACAAATGTCACATAGGCAAAAAACATGTCGATTCTGCAAATAATATAAAAATGGAATTGATTTCAATCGTTGACATGCATTGTTAACAAAATTATTTATTGTTTAGTCTAGAGTAGCGGAAATATTCAGATTAATTTGAGTTAGAGCAGTAAACTTGCTAGAGTTTGAGATTTGACCAATCTCATTTTATTTTTTTATTGCCTGTTTTTAATCACGCTTCATTTTTGTTTTAAAATCAAAACTCTTCTGAATTAAAGATACCTGACGAATCATAAAGACAAGACAGTCATGTATTTGTTTGTTCAATCATATTGTTTGAAAAAAGTTGATCAATGAATAACTTCCGTGAATATTCCGCTGGTGAACATTTATATAAATATGTATTTTCCCCTGTTGTTTTTTGGTTTTTTTTTTTGTTAGTTTGTTTTTTTTTTTTTTTTTTGTTGGCCACTTAAGAATGTTATGTAAAGCTATTCTTACGCACTAAAAAGTTATATAACAAAAATAGTAAACTCCAAGGAAAATTCAAAACGGAAAGTCCCTTATCAAATGGCAAAATCAAATACTAAATCATATGCCTGGTATCGTGTCTGAGTATAGTTTTTTAGTGTTAATATTTCTTTCTACCTTAAATTAAATGGTACTGTAAAAGTTATAAACATACCTTTCCTTCTGATCCGTTTTGAAATAACAATACAATATATATTCAAGATTATTATGGCTGGTGCTACATTATGTATATAGCTTTATCTTCTGAAAAAAAGGACAATGAGGCATTTGCGTGACTAGATATTGACTTTTATTTATACATACATGTGATATGTAAATAAAATATAGAGTGTAGTTTAGAATGAAAGTATAAACAAACTAGCATTCTCTACGTAATAGATCTAATAGATAGAATACGCCCCCTTACAATTTGAGTCAAGGTCTAAAGACAATATGTTACACTCGTAATTGCAATTAAGGATACCGCTTAAACACTACACTAGTGTTAATCTGCTGAATATCTTGAAATACATCTAGATATTGACAAGGAGGATCGATTGAGAAGTAAATATACACAATAGAAAAACAAAGGATTTGGGGTATCCTTCCATGACACAAATACATTACATGCAACACACAAATTGCAAAGGAACAGCGCTTTTATTGCTTTTCTTAATCTCAAAGTCACAGTGAGGCATACATGTAATATGTATATCAAATATTGTGTTTTCAGCTTCCCAATTAGGAATTGTCATTTATATATAGCGCATTTCAAAGCTTGTGTTTCCCATCATGATTAACTTAATACAGGTTTGTAACTTAAGAGGAAGCTATTGAACGATGGGTTTATATTTGTAAAGTTGATTTCCTCCCTTCGAAAGGTTTATTAACAGTACCATTAATTATTTGACTTTTTATAGAATATCTGTAAAACAGATAACTAAGAATATGTTAAAAATTTTGAAGCTTCAATGCCGTCTTCTTTTCCTCAATTATTGCATCACCATATCTCATAAGCTGCACAACGGGAGCCCTACAGGAGAATTTTAAATCACCAACGCTTTGGGGGGGGGGGGGGGGGGTCGTAAACAAGTCTTAAATCAGTCTAAATAATTGTAGTAGATGACAACAAACATATGCCATTAACGAATTAAAACAAATATTGAGATCTGAAATTAAGAGGCAATTGTAGTTTAACGATAATCTCATACATAAAGAAGATACAGATTAAGATAAAAGAAAAAAAATTAATCGATTGAACTAAGAATGTTAACATAAGCAAACTCATACCGAACAAATTGGCTCAGCGGTATTACGCAAAATTTTTAGGAATTTTCTTTTTTTTTCTACCCATCTAACTGTTCTGGTTCGAGCGCCAATGATGAGTCTTTTGTAGACGAAACGCGTGTTTGACATACGGCATACAAAATTAAAGGCCTGTTATCTTTGATTAATTACCAGCCCAGTACTTTTGCTCTGACATTACATATCATTGATATGTTTTCTATCTGTAAATGTTATGTATAAAATGACCTTATTGAATTATTCAAAAGACTAGGTTTTTTCAATCACAGACATAGATTGCCTTAGTCGTTTCTTGTGCAACTTTTCAGATTTGTCAGGTTCATAATGCTATCAAACGTTGTGAAATAATGATAATATACAATTATGTCCTTTGTATGTAGTCGATACTAGGATGTACTAACCAGCCAAGAGTAAATCGATGGAGGAAGAGGTCGGAGGACGAACTACTTCTTTTGGTTGATATATCCTCATATCGACGTCCTTTTCTGTACTTTTCATTTGTTTCGGTACTTTTTTGTCTTCAGTGTCTGATGAGTCAAGTCCAACGATGATATTTATAGTTTGTTTTTTAAATTGTGTGTTACATCACTGTCACAGGGTTACGTGGAGGATCTGGTGCCAGCCAACATGATCAACCTCACCAAAGTTTGTATATCCCCGCCAAATTCTGTATATGCCTACGCCAGGAGTCTGTAATTTAGTGATTGTTGTGTGTTGCTGTATATCATATTTATTTATTTAGTTTATTGTGTTGTACATAAACCAGGCCTTTGGTTTTCTCGTTTGAATTGTTTTCTGTTTTGTTATGTATAGCTTTATAGCTTGCTATGCGGTATGGTTTTTTGCTAATTGTTGAAGACCATAGACCTGTCTACAGTTGGTAGCATGAAAGTCATTTGGTCTCTAGTGGGTAGTATTTTCAATATTCAGTATTTGCCAATGGTACTACATCTTATTTTTAGATTAATTACTATTTTAATTTGAATATATGTATCATAATGAGTTCAAAGAACACATAGAAAATATTGTTCATTGATCAAATGACATCAGTTTGTTAACTTAATTTTTTTATTTACAATTTGTTGTCTACTCTCAGTTCCTTATTCATATTTAAATTTTTAAAAACAATAAAAACTTGTCATAAACTTAAAAACTGGGATGTTTTGTCTGGTTGCGTATATTCCTCTTTCCTTGAAGTATGTACGTTTTGTTTTTTCATATCTATCAATGACTGGTCTGGTCTGATGCTGACATGACATAGTCCTTACATTTATGGTTTTCAACAACCATCATAGCAGTTGCGGACACAATTGATCTTCCAAACACATATTCATTCTGTAAATAACATTACATACAGATCTGGAAGATCCCAAGTATTCTTATAAATGAACTTTGTCAATGTAAATCACGTTTGCTCGCAAAATTCATTAATATTCAATTAAGCTCATCAGACTTTTAAGCTTGTCCCATCTATATGGTCATTAATGAGGTTTTTTTTATTACTTTAAATGAAAATTCTATAAAGCTCTTAGGTTTTATTAGTATATCAAAACTCTTGTGTGTTAATGGATAGAATGTGTGTAACATAAACGAAAATGGTTCATGTTGGATATGTAAAAGTGTATTTGATAAGAAACAAAGTTGGTCAAAGCTTAAAGTAAAAGCAAAGTATACTTGGGCGATATTTCGGATTTGGATAAAATTTTGTATGCATTCAGAACTCCTTGTACTGCATCTAAATATTTAAATAAAATTATAGGTAGCATTTATGATGTCACAGATATAGTTAATGTTTAATTGTAAAATAGGTCTGTAAATGTTCAGAATGCATATGATAAGCGTTTACAAATATTTTAGTTATGTGAACAAACTCGCGTCAACGATATGAAAATTTTAAGGGGATCACCAGTTGCGTTTTACCCCACATCTTCTTTTATTAACATTTTTTGTGTAAATAATGCCTATGTATCAGAGAAATTTCTATTGGCAAAATATCAAGTTTCGTTCACATTTTAAGGTAATGCAAATGAGATAACACCTATTTTGTCCCAAAGGAGGAGGTATTTTTAGATTCATTATATGACGCTTTATATTGCAAAATTTATAAAAACAAAATAAGTTGTTGTAGTTGATAAAATATAACATTTGGTCCAGTTAAGTAAAATATAATGACAAATACACAATTTACCGATAAATTACAAATTAAGTTAAATATGAATACGAGGTTTAACAAAATAGTTATAACACACTAAAACTTC